ATTAAATACATAAATATTATTGATTCATAATCAGATTGGTCAGATTTTTGTTGTTGTTGCTGAGGTAATTCAATCGATTATTTAGGGAGATAACGTATCTAGCGTATCTAACGTATTTAGCTTCGTAACTAAACATATATATGAATTCACTTAGTATTGTTTGTTTGAATCTTCCCATTGATCTTTAGTAGTGCAAATGGTCAGTCTCTTATTGGCCATATGAAGTGAACAATGGCTATCAGGACTCAGTAGCTAATTGGATAACGTGATGACATTTGAAGCGAACGGTACTGGGTTCGAGTCCCTCCCGGAGTGAATATCAACTGAGACTCAGGTACACTCGGCTGACGTGTCCCGAATAGGATGAAGCGCTCGTATTTGATTCCAATACTAGCCACTATTCATCTTTGCTTATAATGCATGTAACTTAATGTAATATCAAGGCAATTAGCACACGATGCACATATGCTAATAAGAGACTGATCAATTGCACTCCTAAACATCAATCGATAGATTCAAGTAACCAATACCAAGTGAATAGACAGGTCTGTTTATGTCCTTAAAAAATCTAGCTATAAATGTTTCCTATATCTCAGAGACTTGTAAAATATTGCTGTTATATCTGGAGTTTTAGATTCTTGCTATGCCGCGTACTACTAGACTGATTGAACGATCGAATCCTCAACGTCGCAAGAGAGTAGACAGAAGATTAGTATGTAGGAATGTATTTCCCAACACAGTGTCAATTATAGTACAAAACTGTCAGGTATTTATAGTTTTTAGTAAAAGCGAAATCATCATTATGGTTATCCAATCCGCACGCAGGGGGTTATTAGCATTTGTCTAATAGAGAAGCTACACATTGTGACTCTGGAATATTCTTCCAAAATCTGATTAGATGAAATATATTTGGCTCCTTCTAAGCTTCTTAGAGCTTCCTCACTTTCACCTGTGGACCGTCCTCACAATTACGAACTCTTTTTTATGTCAATTAGCAAGGTTTATTATCGGAACGTTCACATTGATTAAACTGGTTTTACAAATATTATCCAAGAGGTTTCCATATTTCTCATTGTTTATCTACATTGCGGTTGCATGGATATATTGCCAAGGCGATTAGCTGTTAAATGAATTATAGTTATTTAGGATTGGCAACTGTTAATTGATATCACAAATCCTTGGTTAATATTTTAAAGACCATGCAATTCATTGGCTCAAGTTGTTATCAAGTGTGACTTGAAATGAATGCTAGCGGTGTTATGAGTAAGATAACAAGTGCAATATGAAACTATAGAGTTCTTTGATCAATTAAGAGAGCAATACACTGAATAATTCATTTGCGAAATTACATCATTTGTCCTTCACATTCAACATGATTCTTCTAAGTCACAATTCCTTTCTATTTCCATTTCTGTCTTCCTCAATTCGACCTCTATAGTATTCTGTTTCCAGGTTTTCCACTTCCGATTAATGATACATACTACTTAAGTCGACAGAGATAAGTAGCGTATATCACGGAGATACCAATTTAATTTTCTGTTTGTTATGACTTTAAAAAAAGATTAATATGGATTGGTACTTGCTTTTTTTTTCTTTCTTCTTCTTCATATATTACCATCTGGTTTTGGACAGCATATAGTTTTTAATGCTCTTGTAGATCAACGATGATAATCTCTGTCGAATAATTAGGGGCCTATTCAAGTTAGACATGAATAGTATGATGAACTAACTAACTTCAATGTCACACCTTGCTGTCAGTATCTAAAATGGATTACACCTTCAACGTATCAAAGTACTATGGCTGCTTTGAAGACTGTATAACACAAAGGACGTGATTACGTAAATATATTAATAAGAATGAATACAGAGATGTTAGTGAGATCACCACTGCATGGGCCAGTCCATGGCGTATGGTTAACTGATATGCATTTGTTGTCCTTGACTTGATGATTTGTTCGATATTCAGTGACCCAACTGCCAGATGATTTGGCTAGGGCTTAGTGACATTTCACTTCCCTTACACTTTATTATCAGAAATCGTTTTGTTTCATACATCAATCAACATTTTTCAACTACATTTTTTGTTGTTTTATATGTGAATAACTTTTCAATCAAAACTAATTAACTATGTACAAATAAAGGTGAAAATCACTAAACTGTTAAAACAAATATGCATTCATCCAACTTGTCGTATTACTGTGACCATATTGACAAAACACAATTTTTTTTTTTCAATACAATTTCTATGTAAAATAAGTAGGACAATGTTACCTTGTTAATCTATTCAATCATGGTGTCAACTATTGAAATTACTATAATATCCAAAAAAACCCCTTCTGATATTAATTAACATATGCTCACTAATGACTGGCTTCAAGATGTATTTCCTGGAGTTCTTGCGAGAAGCAGTAACTAGTGAAGTTCAACCAGGTCTGTTGTGAGGTAGTAACTCACTGAAGACAATAGTGGATGTGTCGCTAAATTTCGTCCGTTGGTTGAAATTAGACATCAACACCGTTGGATGCTGGCCGGCTCAGTGGTCTAGAGGTTAAGCGTTCGCGTGCGAGATCTATAGGTCATGGGTTCTAGTCTCATGAGGCAAGATCGTGGAGGCACACTTCTGAGGAGTCTCACAATAGGATGATTTGGTCATCCAGTGTTTCTAGGTGTTCCATGATGGTCTAGCTTCAATTGATTCATGATTTCAACTATGAAAATACTAAATTCTCTACAAGACCCCCTTTGATCTATAATCATTTCAATCAATTCTATGCAAACTAAAGAACGAAAGGATAAAAGAAAAAAAACCGAATATCATCTGCAAAAGAAATTGTTTCAATTGTGAAAAACATTATATTGGACAACGTGGACGACTCTTTCATCTATGTCTTCACGAACATTAATGAGTAGTCAAACACTATGATATATCTTCGCTTATATCAATGCATGTGAACATACATTCGACTGGGAAAATGTTAAGATCTTA